TTTCCTTTGAACAAGCCAAGAGTCACACCCAAGTCATGGCCTCACACCCTTGGACCATCTGATCACACGTGTTCTGAAATGTTCCTCTCTGGTTTTCCTCACACCTATGTCAGGAGGACTGATCAAGTTACCTAGAAATAGTAGCCTTTGCCTTCCGACTGATTGCAATCTTCCAAACACAGGAGTTTCTGCAAAGAGGTATGTCAAGCCTCACAGGTCCCATGATAAGCTTTTCTTGGCTCCTGTCACTGCATATTGCTCTCTGCAGTTTTCATTTTTGCCTGTATGCCAGGGGAAAAGAAAAGCTCTATGGTGCCAAGAATAAAGAATCCTAGAGGTATCTGCCACACAGGGCCTTCAAGGGTGTCAAACAATGTGGGAATTCTTCAGGGCCTAGGTGTTATGTCTAAACCTCCTCCTGAAAAACAAGTTCAGGAGGGTCTTTCCTGGAGGTCGTGTGAGGCTTCCCCAGTCCCCACAGAAAGTTGATCCTAAGTGAAGGTGCAGCTTTCCATAGAGAAAGGCAATGTTTGAACTTGACAATCAAACATTGGGTTGAGGAAGTCCAGGCTGAAAAACAGTAGAATCCTTCTCTCATTGCCCTGCAGAGCAACACAACCCCCTGGCCCCACCTTTCGCCAAGAACATTTATGCTTTGCCTATAGATGGAATACAGTTTGTTACTTGAACAAATGGACACATCTTTATGTAGAACAGGGAGCTGATGTTACACAGAAATTAAAGACACAGTCTGCCACTTGCTTGCCGAGTGACTTTGGACAAACACTCTGAGGCAAAATTTCATGCTCTGTAGACTGAGAGTAATAAAATACCTGCTATATAGGGAAACATCAAGCTTTTAGTTAGTTTTCCACATTAAAAAAAACTTAGCCATAAATTACTACAAACAATATGAGCTCAAACAATGTTATCTATAATAACAGAGATGAGTTGTTGATAGCTGTGAGAGTTATTGTGATCATCATCTGCCCTGATTTTTTTCACCCTGGAGTCAGAGATTTCTACCTTGTCAGGGAAGAACCCAAGACCAGGGCTGTCTCTTTTCTTTCCTTTGAACGAGCCAAGAGTCACACCCAAGTCATGGCCTCACACCCTTGGACCATCTGATCACACGTGTATGAAATGTTCCTCTCTGGTTTTCCTCACACCTATGTCAGGAGGACTGATCAAGTTACCTAGAAATAGTAGCCTTTGCCTTCCGACTGATTGCAATCTTCCAAACACAGGAGTTTCTGCAAAGAGGTATGTCAAGCCTCACAGGTCCCATGATAAGCTTTTCTTGGCTCCTGTCACTGCATATTGCTCTCTGCAGTTTTCATTTTTGCCTGTATGCCAGGGGAAAAGAAAAGCTCTATGGTGCCAAGAATAAAGAATCCTAGAGGTATCTGCCACACAGGGCCTTCAAGGGTGTCAAACAATGTGGGAATTCTTCAGGGCCTAGGTGTTATGTCTAAACCTCCTCCTGAAAAACAAGTTCAGGAGGGTCTTTCCTGGAGGTCGTGTGAGGCTTCCCCAGTCCCCACAGAAAGTTGATCCTAAGTGAAGGTGCAGCTTTCCATAGAGAAAGGCAATGTTTGAACTTGACAATCAAACATTGGGTTGAGGAAGTCCAGGCTGAAAAACAGTAGAATCCTTCTCTCATTGCCCTGCAGAGCAACACAACCCCCTGGCCCCACCTTTCGCCAAGAACATTTTCTACCCTTCCAGATGTGTGTCACTTTGGACACAGATCACATATTATTTGGTGTGCATATCTTTTTCAGTATTGATCTACTTTTATGCAACCCAAGAGACAATTTTTTGAATGCCTGTTATATGTCAGACCCTTTACTGAAAGTTTTGCAGCTCTTAGCTCATTGATTACTAAAATACTGTAAGATAGTTATCACTAATCCCATTTTACAGATGATAAGACCTGCTCAGCAAAGGTTAATAAATGATTTGCCAAAGAACATAGTCACCAAGGGGGAGAGAGGAGAAGAGGTCTGCTAATAATGTTTGTATGCATGTGTGCTCAGCTGTGTCCGACTTTTTGCAACCCCATGGACTGTATCCTGCCAGGCTCCTCCGCCCAGAGAATTTTCCAGGAAAGAATACTGGAGTGGGTTGCCATTTTCCTACTCCATTAATAATAGTCTCCAACTTTATTCTAAGTTTTCAAAAAGTAAGAAACATTCTTCCACTATTTTATTTTCTATAACAAAGTATGTGGTTATGTATGCAAATAAGCATAAGACATGTAACAAGTGATCTCTTATTTAAAACATAATTTCTTTTTCCTATAAATAGCCAGCTATATTTATCAACTATATGCCCCCCCCACACACACACCCAGCAGACATGTTCTACACACGTGAAGATTTAGATAATGTTTAAAATCTTTATAAGAAACCCTCTTACTCAAGGGAAGGACAGCATTCACATTTACATTGCAGAATATAGCTCCTAAAATCTGGATCGAAACAGGGCCAAACACAGATTTTCAGTCAGGAAGCTGGGATCCAGTTCTGTTTCTGCTATTGGCCTGGGAATACGACTAAATCTCCCTGCCTTTGGGGAATCTTCATTTATAAAATGGTTATACTGGTCAGTTGTTCCCAATTATTGGCCCATGATGAAGCTTTCATCAGTCTGTACTGAAATGAAAAAAAAACAATGGGCTTATTTGTATAAAATCATTTGTTTTATAAATCTGTGAAAAATGGCTAGCTTTCAAGTATGTCGTCTACAATAAAACCCTGATATTTAAAGTATATATTTATTTTTACAGGTCCACGAATCCAAAGATCTGGGAACCCTAGCCTAGGTGATCACTATCATCTTTTATAGCTTCAAAATTCTATCCTCTTCATAAATGACAAATGATATTTAATTAACTTTAAAATAGGAAGGCAAAAAGAAAAGGAAAAAAAACTTATCTTTTTTCTTATTTAGTTCTGTTCTTCCTCAAATGTGAACGTTAAGCCCCTGGCAAGATATTATAACTATTCCACTAGAAAAAAGATTCTTAGTTAAATGAGTTTGGGAAACAATCAGTTGAAAAAGTGAGACAGTTTTCTTCACTGAGAGATTTTCAGAACCTGTCAAGTTCTAAAATCTGTTGACTCCTCCAGAACAGAAAAGCATGAATGGTCCCCAAGTTACTGATGGGGAACAGATGCCTGCCCCAAACCCCTTCTGAGGACAATACTCCTATTCCAGGAATGCAGTTTGAGAGAGGTGACTTCCTCTAAAAGAAAGACCCTCAACAGCTTCAGTGATAAGGACAAAACACAGCATTAGTGACAAGGAGACTTGCCATTTACTTTATATTAATTTGATAGTTTTTTCATTACTGAGTCTATGGGTTTTTTTTTAATTACGAAAGAAACCTGGATGAAAATACTTCAGATTAAAGTACAATGGACAAGATATTTATTTTGTGGCTATTTTTAACAATTTTCTTTTTACCATAACAAATAAAGGAAGATTGTGTCAAGAGATTTGTATCTAGTGATTGCAACATGATAATTAAAACATTTGGAATTTGCAAAAGTCTGCAGTCACAAAATCATGGCTATCACCCCTACACAGTAAATACAAGGTAAAATAAAACCATCTGTAGGTATTAAGCCTGAGATAATCTGCAGACTTTTCTCAGATGGTGAATCCTTGTTAACTATCTTAGCAGTAGGAATAATTAATTCTGAATGCTTGAGGCTCCTGATGAACTTATTTAAACACTTTTCACAATGATCAAGAAACAAAATACTTGATAGAAGAAAAATATCTAATAGTGTATATTTTCATCTTAATTCTTTATTTATTTTTGCAGAATTATCTTAGAGTTGAGAAGGTTTACTCAGCCTTTTTTATTGCTTTTTACATCATCATGTGAAATATCAACGAGCCAAACCCTTCAGCCTTCACACTCTGGATTCAAGTTTCACTTAGCACACTGAAGAGAATGGTTTTCACTTGGGACAAGATGATCTTGGAGCAAATCAGCCGGAGGGAGGACCTAGCAGGATCTTTGGATATTCTGACCTGAACAACCTTTCTTTCCAACTCTGAGCGCAGCAGGGTTTTGACAAGCCTGTGGCTCCATTGTCTCTGATATTTTCCATCATAACTGTATGATAAATTCCAGTCTGTTTTTCCTAATCCTGCTGACTACAGCAGTCTGCAACCATAAAAAGTTTTCACAGACTTGGAGTTGGCTTAGAGAAGTGCCTCGGCAAAGGAACAAAAAAAAAAAAAAGAGCAACATTTATGTTCAAAGACAGGAGAGAGGCAACCTTTGCTTTTGGTGGTGATGGGCTCAAGAGGTGGTTTTTAGGGTCTATTTAAGACATTTTCCTTTTCTTCTGATGACATTTGTAAATAGAATACCAACACTAAAATGAGAACAATTGAGCCAGGGAAAGGGGGGATGTCATGTCCAACAGATCAAACCCTATTCCAAACTCCACCAGAGAAAGTGTCTACACCATAGCTCATGACCATCCTTCATTGGTGAGCCCTGCCTAGAATCCTTCAGCCTCCAAGCTAACAGGTATGTGTGAGGTTTACACAAAATGATTCTAGGTTTCCAACTAGCTTCTTTCAAACATTCAGCTAGCACTGGTTTAGTCTCTGAGGGATAAAAACATCAAATGAGTCTTTTCAACAGACTACAATACCCATCTATATAATACAATTCAATATACAAGTGCTGTAACTGGAAACTAGACCATTCAAGCTACCGTGAACACAGCTAAACACAGAAGGAAGTTGGTTTGCATTTTTTGCAATAAAGAGATGCAACTGAAAAGCACATAGCAGAAGAGGGGGGAAAGAAAAGCAAAAGTTTAAGCGACTTCTTTATACATTTGAATTGTAACTCTCCGAGAAGAACTCAAATCCCCCCGTCTGGCAAAGCAGATCACATTTAATCTCAACATTTAAAAGCTAGTATCTCAAACATCATTTTGAAAACACAAAACATCATAGCTACTTGCCTTTAGGCAATTTCTGTGCATTTCCCAGGGCTAGTGCAACACTTCCACAGAGAAGTAGACACCCCAAGCTGGAGGGCATGGTGCATTTGCCACCTCACACGGGCAGTGATTCTGGTGGGGGTCCCGCAACCCTGGAGCTGCATTTAAGTGGACTGTCTCCTGGTGACAGAGGCGGGCGGCTGCACTTAGCTGTGCCGTGGGCTTACTCACAGGGGGTGGAGACAAAATGACATCACACCCTTTCCCACACACACACCAAAAAAAAAGAGAGAGAGAGAGAGAAAGGCATAACAGCAAAAAACCTATCATCACATTTCCTGCTAAGTTGTAACTATCTGTCTCTTCTCTCCCCTCTATGACATAAAACTTGGAATTATGGTCAATATACATTTCTGAAAGAAAAAGTATTTGGGGAATTTTGAAATGTGATAAACTTTTTAAATATCAAAAAAAGATATCCTTAAAACCAGTGGAATGCTAAAAATATAAAATAAAACTGTATTAGGAAGAAAGCCTTTTCATTATCTAGTATAGAGAGAAAAGAGTCTTAGTTGCTCAGCTGTGTTCCGCTTGTGACCCCAGAGACTATAGCCCAACAGGCTTCTCTGTCCATGGGATTCTCCAGGTAAGAATAGTGGAGTGGGTAGCCATTCCCTTCTCCAGGGGATCTTCACGACCCAGAGATTAAACCCAGGTCTCCTGCGTTGCAGGCAGATTTTTTTTTACTGTATAAAGCAGCAGGGAAGCCCCAATTCTTCTTTCAAATGAAAGTAAACTTCCAAAAATTCAATCTGAACCATTTTGAGGTTCCAGTATCATGAGAAACTTTTAAGAGAAAGTCATTGGCTACACAGGTATTCATAACACACACGGGCATACATAGATATATACACAGATATATACAAACGGTTAGTCTATAGATACAGAGACACAGAGGAATTACTAGCATTAGTTGATCCCCAGCTCTGGGACAGGCTCTGTAATAGTGTCTTCATCTATGTTACTGCATTTTAGTCCTCACACTGATTAGACAAAGGATCTTATATTATCCCGGTTATAGTTCACCTATGAGAAAAACTGAGCCCCAGGGAGGTTAAGAATCCTGACCAAATCCATGTATTCTAATGGTTAACAATTTGGATGGGCGTTGGAGTGAAACTGATTGGGTATAAACTTGGATGATGTGTGCCTTCGAAGAAATGTCTCCATCTTAATTTCTCATCAACATTGGTTACATTAATGGGCTTGCCCCATGCCCAGCACTTACCTGATCAATTCACATTTACTTATATTTATTCCTCAAAATAATCCAGGAGACAGGCACCATCATTACCCCCATTTTACAGACAGAGAAACTGGACTCAGAGGGATTAAGGGAAAGGCCCAAGGTCACCCAAGCAACAAAACTGGCATTTTATTTCTTAAATTGTGGCCCTATTTATTTATTTTACTTGTTGACCATGTGGCATGGGGGACCTTAGTTCCCTGAGCAGGGATTAAGCCTGCAGTGTCTGCAGTGGAAGCACAGCATCTTAACCCCTGGACCACTGAAGAAGTCCCAGAGCTGGCATTTTAAACAGATGATTTAACCCCAGAACTTCCACTCTTCATTATTAAACTTTAAATTAAAAAATGGAGATGACAGTACCAAATTCACAAGTTTGCTAGCGGCACTTTTGGACCGTGTGTACCAGAGTGCCTCGTTCACAGGAAGTATTTAATAAATGATAATCAATGAAAACAACAAAAGTAATGACAATAGTACATCCCCCAATAAGCAGAACTCTGGTTCTAACCCAGGTACATTAACCTCCAAAGCCTAGGTGTGTCCTCTCCCTCTATATCACATGACCCTAAATATAGACATTGCTAGAACGACCAGGCTGATAAAGGACTTCAAACGTTGTCAGTACATTTATGTCAACCCTTTGAAAACAGCTTATTTCACAAGTTTGCAGTAGCTGAACCAAAACAGTAAAAGGAAAATGGAATAATGGGGGTCCAGTGAAAAAACTTACTGAAATAAAAAAAAGAAAAATTGAAGAGACAGCCCCATCTTCCAAATAAAGCGTGAGAAGCCACATTGTTAAAGTCATTTAGAGCTGGCCCGGGCTAAGCTTTCAGCACAGGAATGCTCTGGCACCAGCAACAGGGGGAGGGGGGATTGGATTATTTAACAGGTCTTTTTCATCTGTAATTTTTTACTTGAATAGGCAGCTCTCTCAAACCCCAGTTCAGACATTCATCCAGCTGGCATTGCTGACTCTGCTTCTATATCCATTGCCATCGCGTTAAGCCAGGGAGGCCACGGTACTAGCAGAAAATGACAGGTTCTTTTGAGGGGGGGGAACAAAAAAGAGCAGAAATATTGAAAAGAAGGCTGGTTCTTCAAAACATTGTGAGGGGCGGGCCTGGAGGGTTAGGTAATGGAATTCAAGCATCAGCGTCTGCTTGGCCTGCAGGCTAAATCAGGTCTACATTAGCAATGGTTATTTGCAGATTGGAACTGACTGGGGGCTAATTAAACAAAGGTCAGTCTCCGATCAGTATTTTGTCAGAAAAAGTTGCCAGCATGACTCTCCCAGGCAGGACAGAGGACATTCAGTGAAGACACAGGAAGTACAGAGCTCACCTCACGTCTGGGAGGAGGCAGGTCCTGAAGAAACCAACCGTGTCAGAGAAGCCATTTTACCTTTTCAACAAACATAAAGTGTTCCGAAGCGTCAGAGTCCCAACCCAAACACGAGGTAGACAAATCCTCCAGAAGCGTTGCGAGTGTCATGCTCAAGGAGAAAAAATACGAGGGCTGTGGTCATGTAACCACTGGAGGCGTTAAGGCTACTTTTCTCAAAATTGGAGAATAATTGCCTGACAATGTTGTGCAGGTTTCTGCCACACAACAGTGTGAAGTGGCCGTAAGTACACACGTTCCCTCTTGAACCTCCCTCCCACCCCCACCCCTCTAGGTTGTCACTGAGCGCAGGTTGAGCTCCCTGCGTCATAAAGCAACTTTCCACTTTTGTTGTTGTTTAGGCGCTAAGTCACGTCCGACTCTTTTGCGACCCCATGGATCATAGCCCACCAGGTTCCTCTGTCCATGCGATTTCCCAGGGGAGAAGACTGGCGTTAGTTGCCATTTCCTTCTCCAGGGGATCTTCCCGACCCGGGATTGAACCCATGTCTCCTGCACTGGCAGGCGGATTCTCTACCAATGGGCCACCAGGGAAGCCCCATGACTTCCCACTAGCTATCTGTTTTACATACAGTAACGTGTGTTTCAATGTCACTCTCTCAGTTCATCCCGCCCCCTCCTTCCCCTGCTGTGGCCACAGGTTTGTTCTCTACGTCTGCGTCTCTATTCACGTAAGACCACTTTTTCAGGAAAAATGACCTTCTGCCCATGGGTGGATTGGACATGATGAGTGTTGAATAATTTGTACACACTCATTAGGTCTCCCAGGTCTCGTGAGCCCTTGTGTCTGTATTTTTCTGGAAATACAGAAATGTGAAGATCTATTATTTGTGAGCTGTAGACTATCAAATTGATTATCACCAATACCTGTGAAAATTTTTGCTTTACATATTTATTGAAAGCCTGTAAGAATATACAACACCAAGAATGAACCCTACTGTAAAATATCAGCTCTGAATGAGAACGACATGTTATTGGAGGTTCATCAGTTATAACAAGTGGTAACAAACTCTGATGGGGGATATTGGTAACGGGTAGGCCAGGGGTATGTGGTATGTTTCTGCATGTGTAGAAGCCGGGTATAGGTATCTGGGAAATCCGAGTACCTTCTGCTCAGTTTTACTATGAACCTAGAAGTGCTCTAACAAATCAAGTTTATCACCAAGAAATCCTTGTTGACAGAACATTTAGGAAGAACTTACGGAAAACCACATAAACTATATTTGTATTTTCTCTCTGTTCTACAAAGACAGGAGATCATACCTATTTTGTTTAGCATTGTACTCAGTGACTAGAATCTGATAAGAATGCCACACATTAAGATGCATAAGGCTATGACCCACATCCCAGAATATTAGAAACAAAAGCAAAAATAAACAAATGGGACCTAATGAAACCTAAAAGCTTTTACACAACAAAGGAAACTATAAGCAAGGTGAAAAGACAGCCCTCAGATTGGGAGAAAATAATAGCAAATGAAGCAACAGACAAAGGATTAATCTCAAAAATATACAAGCAACTCCTCCAGCTCAACTCCAGAAAAATAAATGACCCAATCAAAAAATGGGCCAAAGAACTAAACAGACATTTCTCCAAGGAAGACATACAGATGGCTAACAAACACATGAAAAGATGCTCAACATCACTCATTATCAGAGAAATGCAAATCAAAACCACAATGAGGTACCATTACACGCCAGTCAGGATGGCTGCTATCCAAAAGTCTACAAGCAATAAATGCTGGAGAGGGTGTGGAGAAAAGGGAACCCTCTTACACTGTTGGTGGGAATGCAAATTAGTACAGCCACTATGGAAAACAGTGTGGAGATTTCTTAAAAAGCTGGAAATAGAACTGCCATATGACCCAGCAATCCCACTTCTGGGCATACACACCGAGGAAACCAGATCTGAAAGAGACACGTGCACCCCAATGTTCATCGCAGCACTGTTTATAATAGCCAGGACATGGAAGCAACCTAGATGCCCATCAGCAGACGAATGGATGAGGAAGCTGTGGTACATATACACCATGGAATATTACTCAGCCATTAAAAAGAATTCATTTGAATCAGTTCTAATGAGATGGATGAAACTGGAGCCCATTATACAGAGTGAAGTAAGCCAGAAAGATAAAGACCATTACAGTATACTAACACATATATATGGAATTTAGAAAGATGGTAACGATAACCCTATATGCAAAACAGAAAAAGAGACACAGATGTACAGAACAGACTTTTGGACTCTGTGGGAGAAGGCGAGGGTGGGATGTTCTGAGAGAATAGCATTGAAACAAGTATACTATCAAGGGTGAAACAGATCACCAGCCCAGGTTGGATGCATGAGACAAGTGCTCAGGGCTGGTGCACTGGGAAGACCCAGAGGGATGGGATGGGGAGGGAGGCGGGAGGGGGGATCAGGATGGGGAACACATGTAAATCCATGGCTGATTCTTGTCAATGTATGGCAAAACCCACT